AGCTGTGTATTGCCTATAGTAAAATAGGCTTTGAATACTTTGGTCGTCAGTAACCAGGACAGGATTTCCTTGAGTTCTTAATGCAACTGAGAAGAACTTTGCAGTTTCCTATTTATACGCGTGGCTATCAATGATCACCTCAACGATTTAACCATAAAAGCCAAACTTATCGAACTACTTTGCTGCACATGATATCGCAAGCCTTGTTCAGGAAAACGCAAGTCTTGTTTAAAGATTGAATGATCAGAGTGAATGTTATGTGACTGTTATGATTTCGAGTTATCTGTATGAGTATTCTCATAAAGATTATTAACAGAATTTTGTATTAGAGCGTTTGGTTTCACTCGTAAAAAGGTTTCGTTAAAAGCTTTCTCTGCAAGATATCAGCTTGTGATCCGTTGAAATAATACAGCCGATAACTCGTTCGATTTGAGGTTAAACATAAACAATTATCAAAAAGTATAGAGATGAGTTTTAAGCCACCAACATGCGCAAAATAATTTAGTATTATTGGCTGTTCATATCATTCCTGAATGTACGGATTATCATATACGTAGGCAACAGAATCAATGAGTTCAAGTGAGTCGATGAATTATTCCGTAAACTCTTTGTGGTACTTTTATCATATCAGTTTATCATGTATATACACTGGATTTGAACTATTCGCGCTCCAGAAGAATGACTAAAAGCTATTACCCCAGATTACTCTTTTACCGCAGATTACCCCATAACCCCAGCTTACCTCATTACTTCAAATTACCCCTTTTAACCTACATTACTCCAGACTACCCTAGAGTTCACTATTACCCAAGATTACCACATTTCCCCAGACTATCCCATTACTTCAGGTTACCCCATTACCCCAGATTACCACATTACCCCAGACTATGCCATTATCCCATTGCCCCAGATTACCCCATTAACCCGGATTCCAGATCATCAGAACAATTTAAACAAAATCCCAAGCTGTCGTAAAAATTTTTTGTCTCAATTTTTTGGAAAGAGCGTGTGACTGGGTAAAGAATTTCGCTGTTCAAATTGCGACAATATCTGCTATTTGAGGATCAGATATACCGTAACAATGGAATGCATAACGCACGGTTTAAAGAAAATGAACAGCAATATGAAATTCATATATATAACATAGATGGTGTTATTTCCATCTTTCGGTTGTCATATTGTCTTAACTTCACCGGCTCTTCCTCACGTCAGCTCTTGCAGAGATCATTACGCCTTGATCACGCTCTTCTAACAAACATTTATTAAAGTCGATAAAATTCATTAAGTGCGCTGAAGAAATGGGTCTAAACTTAGAAGGTATCTCTAAAGAGGGATATTTTCTATAAGAATGATAGCTTACGGTCAACAATCCGATTATTAGGGCATGAAATACCAAGTTCTCGGAAATCTATGGTCCGCGTTACCTAAGTAACGCAGAATCGTTTTCGGTATATTCGCTATTTCTTTCTAATCACGACAAATTCCTTACGCACATTTACGGATTAATTTTTTTAAACTCAGCCAACCCCGCGTTTCGATATTATTAAATAAGTTAGATTGGGTATTTAATTTTACATATGTTGTTTAAATTATGGATTTTTGTACTCAAAATATAATTAATTTAAAATATTTACCTTTTATGATGGGCAACGTTTTACTCGCTCACCTAATGTTCAGATGTTTTTAATAACATTTCATGTGGTTTTAATTTATGGCATGTTACCTAAACATCAGGAACGTCGGAGTGCTGCCTCAGCGCAGTATGCAGACAGTTAGATGCTATTGAGTTTATGCTACTTCTTCCTCGGTACAGCTGGCCTTTTAAATTGCCACAAGTGTCAACTTTTTGAGCATCAAACTGGTAAAAAGGTGTTGGGGATTTGAATTGAATTTAAATCACCCGTAAATGGCCAACACCATTAACGCCGACTGTATTTGCCTTGTAGGACATGCACGCTGCCACGAAAAACTCTGTTATTAAGGTACAGTCCCACTTCCTTGACTTTTGGTCAGTGGAAAAATATATATAGATCTTTGTGAGTACAAACGATTTTCACAATTTTGCATTGTTCAGAGAGTGTGTACTCTATATTTATTTCAATCTAAGTTATAAGCGGCCTATTAGTTTCCTTGTTTTCTAAGTATTCTGGCTGCTCAACTTGCCTCAACCTTACGCCTTTGGGTGCGACGCCTGATCTTCCTGCTGAGCTCAAGTAAATACAGTCCCTGATTAAATTAACTAGAAGCCCGCATTTCCCCTCGAATACGCAAGTTCCTATATAAAGGTAGGAGCAGTATAATCGGCCAATCATTTCCTGGCATATAGCTAATATACATTTGAGATTCTAATGAACCGAAGCCGAAATTCTCTAGTTCATGCTTATTTTCTTGCCTTTAATATAGACTTCTACAATAACACGGAAATCCTCATCGTCTATAGTCCTGTGGTAAGTTCGTCCGTTGGTTTTACTCGCTGTTCTATATTTCTCAAGCTCGATTTCGTATTTTTTTTGTGGCATTCGAAGGACTGGAGGAGACCGTGGGTAGTCAGCTGAGCGCTGGTTATCTGAATGACTCGTTCTATCAATCAGTAACTTATTATTATTAAATTTTATTAATTCTTATTTTTACATCACATCTCTTTTACTTCACTTCTTATTTGTTTGTTTGTCTGTCTGCTACAAATCTTATAATTGAAATTAAACACACTTCTCCTTATCCTATTGATCTGAAATTTTGCACACTTGCGTAAAGTTGGAGACAATGCCTGAATCAAATGACAAAATAAATAATTTTATTAATAAAACGTTTTTTTCAATATTGAAAAACTGAAAAAATAATTTTGTCAGCTACAAATCTTATAATTGATATTTGACGCCCTTGAATCAATTGACAGAATAAATAATTTTGAAAAAATTTATTAAAAAAATGGAAAAATTAATTTTTTTAATATTAGGAAATAAAATTAAAAATTCATTGTGCATCTGTAACATTGAAAACACTGGATTCTTTAGAAGTGTTGTCTTTAAAAAGTAATTTTCAAACGTATATTATTATTATTGGCTGTTATCATTCCTGATTGCCCGCTTTAATATTCGAATTTTGCTGAGCCTTCATAGGCGCGTCAGTCTTGAAAATATCCGGTCAAATGACAAGATTAGATCTTCTATGAACAAGTCATGAAAAGTTCAAGATTCGGCGACAGGCCACATCAGGCCTACTCTTTAGCGCCGACATCACTATGTTATGTTATGTTATATCTTGCATTAATTTGTGCAAGGCATTCCCGATTTCCTGTAGACTGCAGTTTATGAACTGACTTTTATATTTATCTGCATCAGCTATTTATACACAAAACAATTAAGCAAGATTTACACTGTACGATTCGTCAAGATACTCATTTTTAGCATTGTTTCATCCGCTGCTTATCCATTGCTTCGGGGTGGCCTAGGAGCAAGAATCATGGCTTCTGTCACTACTTCGGATTGCTTGCGAGACACACAACGCACAATAACACAGCGAATGATTTTATTTTGCGGTCCGCAGGGCATATAATATTGCCACAAACAAAGGAACAAACACTCAGCGTAATGAGAGGGACTTTGACTAAGATCAACTTTGACTTTTTTGCACTTGTATATGCGTCCACTTGACCCAGATTGGCCCGACAAACGGGCTTATCATTGGTACGTCCATTGTCAGTTCGAGCAAACAATTCTGATTGATGCTGTCGTTTTTGCTGAAAATGCGTCGTGCTATGATAAAATAATTCAAAGGTCAGCTTTGTTTTTTATTAAATAAAAAGAAAAATTTTTCGAAGCAAAATGTCTTCCAGATTGGCTTACGAATTCGCTTTGTTTGAATTAATTAGCATATAATATTCAGTATAGATATAAGCAACGAATATTACCCAAGCCTTCGATTTGCCTAATCAAACTTCATTAATTTAATTAACACACCTTCAAATCGTACTATTCTCAATTAAATTCCGGCAAGATATCTCTAGAAGCCAATTTTCTCGTACAGTACATGGTGACGTACGTAATCTTTTAACTTACATTTAGTGATATCGCGAACAACGTTACGAAGCTATACAGATGGTCGGACCAAATAACGACATCCGATGTTCATTGGCCAATCAAACAGTAGCTCCTATATTCGCGGAAATGCCACGCTCTGAGAGGCGGAAATGCCACGCTCTGAGAGGCGGAAATGCCACGCTCTGAGATGCGGAAATGCCACGNAATGCCACGTTCTCATAAATCGATAATAATAATCTCTCGTCTGTGAGAATGTAGCGATTGCATTAACTGCAAACAGTGGTCTTCGTAATGTGGTGCATTTGGTGGAAGTTCAGATATCTCATTATCAAGAATGCAACGAATGACTAAAATTACTATAAAGTAAATGTGTATATCATGTGACTGAGGTTAGTAATATAATATATATAGTAGTATATACTTATCAAGAGTAGTATAATTATTAATATGATAAACGAACTATAAGCTATTGAGACGACGAGCACCGGCCAACTTTCTAATGCATATCGCTTGAATATTCTTTACTATTTTCGCAATTGACGTACAAATTTACTGACATGTAATTTTATGAAGTTTACTTTCGAAACATGGGACAGTGTATGTCCAAATGAATGCACTACACTGCATTAATGCGGCTGCTGGTGGAGTACAGCGGATGTACGGCTTATTCACATGAATGGATAATGCAACGTCATGAATGGCACTTTTGGGAATCTTCTGATGCATGAATGCAGTGCTGAATGTGAAACGTTCCTCTGCAGATGTGTCGGTGATCTGGCTGCTGATGTTGCATGTAAACCAATGCTGCTGCATTATTATGCTTCAGATAAATGACGCAGCGTTAATTATCATTATAATAAAAACGATAATGTTTCTTAGCATTTTTGACATAGAAAGATCCCGTAGCTGAAATAATATTGAAAATATATCACTAAATCCTTATGACCTTATGACCTTATTATGAGTTCGGGACTTCCCAGTCCCCCGGGCACGCTGATGCGCCGCCTTCGTCGTCCTCCGCCTCCAAGTCGTCGCTGGCAGGTCACCCCGCCCTCGGGTCCCGGGTGTAACGTTGGACGTGTTCCGTCTATTAGCCCTCCTTTGGGCCAGCTGATGCAAGATGCTGTTGCTTGTCACTTGCTGAGGGTAGTTTCCCATTACATTATGATTGTTAATTATTAATTATAATTTATAATTATTTTTATATAAAAAAATTATATTTTGTATCCATGTCAAACTCGTTGAAATATATATATATATTTTTAAGTATAAGCTGCAGGTTCAGTGAAACTTTTTACAGGACATAAAAAAGTTTAAAATTAAATCTTAGATAAAAAACGCTGCAACTATTTTTGGTTGCGAAACAATTGGTAACGAAATAGACCTAACTAAAGCCTACAAGCTTTTCATAACAGTTACATATAATTGTAAAGTCCTATTCATGACTGTAGGAGAAGAAGGGTTAAAAATTTCATAAAACAAACTCCGATGTGTACTGTATATGTATAAGAATAACAACAAATTTAGCAATTGTTCTTCTAATTTTATTTTTGCCGTCTGTGGTTTGCAGATAAGAAAAGTTACCGAACTAGAATTGTCAGTCAGCCACGAAAAATATTGACGTTCTATAATTCTAATATTGTCAGTATCTATAAAGCTTCGAGGAACCGAAGATTTGCGAACAATGTTACGGATGTTACAGCGAAATTTTGTTGTACGTGTACCTACAAATGCTTGACGCTAGTCAAGCATTTGTGGCACTTCAAAACGTTTTCCTGACTCAATGAGCAGCTTAGATGACCAACAAACATTTTTTATATGATTCAAAATGTTTTGACGCGACTGTGTATCTAAATGGAGTACATAAATCGAGCATATCCAGGCTGAAAATTCTGGGCAAGACGTAACCCTGACAAGGTCTCAAAGGGTGGGATAAGTCAGCCAAAATGCGGTGCGTAAGCAAATATTTTGAGCGATATGTCGCGCGTTTTTGTGGGTGGAAGTTTAAACAATGTTTGACCAGGCCATGCATATAGGCCCTGCACTTCGGCTTTGAGAAGATACTATGAGAGAATTGAGTATTGATTTATTAACTATGGGAAATATTGACTTATAAATTTATTTTACAGATTTTTTAAAATGTGTGTAGTTTACATACTAGTATGAAGAATTTATTAATTTTAAATAAATTTTTATAAATTAATATTCACTACTATTTCTATTCGCTTCGAAGGATTTAAATTTGCGAGTTTCATTTCACTTCATGTTAAAATCCGTTTCTGTTAAACAAAAAAAAATGGTAAAAATTATTGCTTATAAATCAATATTTCACATGGTGTTAACAGACTAAGCAAAACGTTTATTTCGAGTGTGAACACATTAAGGGCACAGAAGGACTAAATTCTGTGAACATGATTTATAATTTAAACACGCACCAAATATCCCTCCAACTAGGCAAGTAGAGAGCCAGCATCGAACTAAATTCAAACACGTACATTATAATTAACTATAATTAAGTTGCGTACGACGAACGCGTACAAAACGAAAGCTATATTCAAATAAATGTATTTTTAAGAACTTTAATTCAACAACAATTACATTGAAGCTGCCCATCTAACTTTGAATATTTTCGTACCCTGACGTTTTAATTTTTCTTTGATATTTTCATGTAATATTCATTTTGCAACGTTCATTGCTTGAACGAAATTTTCGTAACTGGTTCCACTGACCTATAAATTTGCTATATAATAATAATAATAATAATAATAATAATAATAATAATAATAATAATAATAATAATAATATTAGCATCATAATGAGTTTTCTAGTTGGTCAGATGACCGAATTTAGGTAGTAATTACCATTCAAATTTATTGACTTTGAATGACTGATATTAAATGCCTTTTCATTGAGGGAACTACTGCTCAAAACAAAGAGTAGGGCGAGTTTTCTAACGAATTCTTTAAGCTTAGACGGTGACGGTCGAAATTGTTTTTGTGACTGTACGAGGGAACACTTTTGGAAGAATCAATGCATTTCGGATCAGTGATTTCATCAGTTTTATTAATAGTTTTATCCCCCTAAAAAAATTTGTCGAGTGATTCCCATGAATCACTCCCATGTTTTCGCTATACTTTAGGTGCACAAACTTAACTTATGGAATAGTTAAATGTTACAAATCTGAAGCGTAAAATGTCTTCTCCAAATTATTGGCCACATCATTTTATCAGTGTAATTATTTTTCATCGATGTTAATATTGGCATGAAGAATGAGTGCTTCAAGTGCTAAAATATTCTATTGACCAGTACGTGTATTAAAGTTTTGTGAAATAATTTTCTTCGTATTATTTCATTTACTACATCAAATTAAAAAATGGAAGAACAGTCCGCTTGAAATCTATTGAATAAATTCAAATCTATTATTGTTCTCAAATTCGTTGCAGAAGCACCGACATAATGTGCTTTAGAAAATATTCCTCTAGAATTAGTTTTAAAAAATTACGGACATCTTGGGGACCATCTTTTGTCCAAAATATTTTGGGGGACCATTTTATTAAATTGTTATTTATATTACAAAAGCAAGATCTTTTAACTAAGAAACAAGTGTTTCCACCTGCAGCCATAGTCCGCCAACGCATGAATTTATCTAGTCGATATTCAGCACGCAGTTACCTTCTTGGACAATTCCTTCCCGTATTCCGGTGTTGAGTTGACGGATGATGTAATGTACAGTGGGAAGCCACACACCTTGTGCCGCTGCAGGTACTTAAGGCAGGTCTCCCATCCCCCTGCATTATTATTAATTTCCAGTCGCGAAGATGAAGAGTTTCAAAATTTTCTTGGTCCTTGCCGCTGCAGTATCTTGCGTTGTCGGCCAGATCGTCAGTAAGAACTTTCTTTTTATGTAATTTTAGTATTTTTTGATGGATAAGCCCACATGAGTAGTAGCTAACAAATTTTTAGAGAGTATTCTCTTATTGAGATAACTGCACAAACTTCTTTTTACGAATATCTGTGCACTTCTGATCCGATATTGATTTATATAAATACTCCCTCAATACACTAATATTCAAATTATTGTAGGTGTAATGGAATTTGTTGTTTTTTTATTAACATCAATTGTTATTCCATTTATCCTATGCATTTATTCAATGAGATTTTTTATAATCGCATCAATAATGCAATTTGTCGTGGATGAGTACCTCGCCGCCATTGGAAAGCAAATTTTAATGGAACATGCCCTGATTCAAATGAGTGACCTAACGATACGATACACTCGTGCTCTGGAATAAATATAATTTTAATAATATCTTCTATTTATATGATCAGATAGAATGCAACTATGGAATGCATACCGAAGAGCTTAGACAAAAACAAACAATCTGAAATTGAAAAAAAATATAAATTTTAATTCCCCGGCGCTTATATCACATTAACGCATCGAATAGCTTCATTATTTTTGTTCATTCTTCGTTTTGATATCAGTAATTACGATCGGCTGGGAATTCCATTCTAGATTTTCAAATGAGAAGCTGGTTTGAATTTCAGATAATTGCACTCAAAATACATGTTATAAAAGATTAATGCCGGTTGATGATGTCATTTTCCTCTCGGTTAGTTAATGTTTATAAGTTTTTAAGATAATATTTTATGTCTTTGCATGTGTTAGGAAAACTGTGGTAATACTGGTATGCAAACTTTAACTTAACTTAACAAACTTATCCTTAACTTTAAAGAAGTTAAGGATAACTTCTTTATCTTTTATCGGCACTACTGTATTTTGGTCGTTCTTTCCTGCTATGAACTAAAATTTCCTGCAGTGCACTTAAATAGCCAGTCTGAAGTAACTGAACACGCTGCGCGTTAGTTACCCGGCTGCAGTCGTGCGGAATGGCTGTTGTGCAGCCGTTCGCACAAGAATTTGACAGAATTTGAGCTCCAGTATCGTCAAGTCTTGCAACATTGAATGCCTATTTCGAGGCGCGCGGGACTTTGTCGCGCTGTACTGAACATCCACACTTATTGTCACTGGAAAAATATTTCCTGCAGTTTTGAAGCTACAGCAATGAGAGGTATACCGTTCGATTCGCAAATAAAAGATTTAGTGATTGGTCAGAAATATTTTCAATTTCGTTATAGTTTTGGAAATATTTTGAAAAGGGTTGGGGGAAATAGAGGGAAATCGAAAAATTTTCGAAAAATTTACGAAAAGTGCTCCCCCACCCACAAAAATTAGATTTTCGAAAAAAGCTCTGTCGAATCGATAGATACGGTACTTACGCATCGAGTGATATTCGTCTCGATGTTGTAGCTTGAAAATCCTAGGAGATTGTTTTCTACAGTATCCCCTTTTTTGGCCGTTTTCTAAGAATTTCACATTTTCTTTCATTTTTTCGAAAAATTTACATGAATAAAAGCTGTTGATTTTTCGGTTTACACATGTGTACAAAGTTTCAAAGTGATCCGTCTGTAAATAGCAGAGATTAAATTTTAGCCAGATGCTCCTTTTTAATATACCATCAGATCAGTCTAAATAGCAAGTTCACTACGAACTTTAAATGCAAAAAAAGTTCCAAGCAACCTGACCACATCTTCATCGAATCGAATATCAATCGAAGTCGGAGTTTTCCGACTGAATGTATTTGCTCTGAAAGATTAGTGCGCATTGTTATTAAATTGTTATTGTACGAATTTCTATTGTCATATTATACTTCTTCGTGTCAGACTACCCAGACTTGCGGCACCTCAAGGCGTACACTTCTACCGAACCTCATGCAACTCCCGCCGTAGGTGTCTCGCTTTCGGCACGCTCGATCGGGGAGGCCTTGAGACACCTACCTAAGTGTCTCAAAACAGCGGTCAATTATTGTCTGTAAGTGTACCAGACTCGTATTGAGAGGATTACTGAATAAAATATTAAAATATGAGCCTTATTAAGCTAGGCTTCATGCCTTGCAGGAGAAAACTGTCCTCATTAAGAGGAGGTTTATGGCTTCTGAAAAAGTGGGCATATGCCCCTTAGAACGAGGATAAGGAAATCATCAATGTTAAGGTTCTATATTGTTTTCAGGGGATGACTGAAATAGCCCAGCATTGCCCAATACCAGGATAATTTTCATACTTCACTCCGTGCGCAAGCATGCTGCAGAGCAAATTAGCCAACATGATTAGTTGCTGAAAGCCACAGGGACCAAACCCCTTCATGGATGTAAACCAGCGAGCCAATGAGCTGCAGGCCGCCAAAACAATGGTCGTAACCCACACACTAAACCCCAAAATATTTCTATTCCATGCAGCCTAGCCCCTTCCCCACTTTCGATAAAGAACGCCCTGCACCACAGTGCTATCAGTACACTGCTACCTCTCCAGCCTGTCCGTTCTTCTGGAGGCTAAACCTCCACGCTACCCCCTGCTCCCCCTCCTTTTGGTACCAGCTTGCGGAAGAATAGTAACCTAACCTAACCTAACCCTTTCGCGGAAAGGTGGAGAGTAGGGGGTAAGTGTGGAGGAAGAAGATGCTGGTGAGCGTCAGGGCTGGGCTTACGCCTGCGAAGTGGGTAAGGTGATGCGACAGTCCGGTGCGGGGCCGTTCCCATTTACGGCAGTCTGGTGCGGTTTGCGGACCCTGTGGCTTACGGCATTTGTAAGAAGTGATGGTATGGGCTTAAATCATTGGTGTAGGAGCTATAGGGCGTAATCCGTTTGGAGTATCAGCTTGTGGGCTGAGGCATTGCTTGTTTCAAGCTGGTGTGGCGAGATGAGGCAAATAAGAACAGCTGCATAGGTATTAGACTGACTATTCCTATTGCATGTAGAGGGTTGGCATTGGCTCTTGGGCTGATTTAAGAGTAAAATTTTTGGGCTACGGCAGCGCTCCCGTTTTCAGGGGCCTCAAGTTCACCGGCCAGGCCAGTCCGTGTGCGTTTATCCCTTCTCCAACTCTACCGACAATGGCATTTCCATGCATTATGGCTACGGATCATCGGTAAGAAAAACCTTCAAGTGTCCACGAGAGCTTTGTGTTGTTTACTTAAAAAACCTCTGTAGCTGTTTGGACAGTCGCTTGAATATTAATTCTCCCTTAAAATAGATCAACTGGAAAATCTTCCTGAATATTTGTTTGAAATTAATGAACGAAATTTGTTAACACTCGAGTTTTTCATGGTCCTCACAAGACCGTTAAAATTTTAGAAATGGGTTCAGTCATGCAATGGAATACGGAGGTTTTATCAATTTGGAATGCTTTGTTAGAAATTTTGTCCAAAAGTTTCAAAATATAAACCGTAGACTACATTCAAACGTGTTATTTTTGGAAATAAGTTTCAGATAACGAAATAAGGTTGGAATTAGGTTTCACACCTTATAGTTAGGGTAAAGATATTATACATGGATTTTGCCTTCTATTGGATTTGGAAGTTATGAGTTTGTCTTTTGAATCGTATTCTTCTATTGTTTAGAAGCGCCTATTAGCTCATATTCGCTCAGTTACTCATACGGAAAGTAAAGATCGTCAGGGAACCGGAGTGAATCAATTTAGAATTTTTTCTTTCCTACGCTTCAGCTGATGGGCATTTTGGTATCTTCTAACCCAAAATACGGTAACTTTGTATCGTGGCTCGTTCGGATTTATTCAATGAATACTGTCGTCTCTGATTAGGTATGAATGACAGATTCCTGTGCTTCTTTATGAACTCTCCTTCCGCCTCTATTTAATCGCATCATTTCTAATCAAAAATTGCTGAAGGCTCCCAAAGAATGCTACGAGCCCAGAAACGGTTCTAATCGCGACATGTACGGATCGTTCTTTCAACCGAATTAACACTCCAGCCTCTGGAGATAGGAGTGGTCAACTGAAATTGAAATTTACTGTTGAGATTTTCAGGCTCTAGGTCTCCAAGTTCCGAGGTCTAAACTCAAGTGTCTAGTTCAAGTCAGAGTTTTCTAGTTTCAAGTTTCTATATTTTGAGGTTTCAAGATTCTCGACCTTTCTGTTTCAAGGTTCTTGGCTCTGCTTTTTTACGGTTCCGTCCGATATAATGACTAAGTCAAGGCAGGAATTCGTTCTTATCCGACAAGACTTTACTAATATTGATAGTGACCATGCGTGAACAATATATGACCAATATACTTGCAAAGGAGTTGTGTGAAAGAATGCACGATTTATATTATTGCTGTAGTCGATATTTTCTTACCATGCCTAAAAGTAGTGCATTATGAGATTTCGAATAAATCTTTCGTTCTTTAGAAAATTTCTTAACACTCGTGTCACTAATTTGTTTAAATGCCGTGCTGTCAGATAGACATTTAACGTCTGAGATGAGAGTGTTTAATAACGTGTAAAATATAATTCATCTACTTCGTACTGAAAAGATTGTGCTAGTCAAATCAAATTAACCAGATTTATTAACGATAATTTGATATCCCATTTTCTGGATTATGGGTTGCAGGGTCCACGATTTTTCAGACAAAATTTCAAATTTGACCACCCGTGACGGCGAAAATTTGGCGCAGCGATCCTCCACCGTCAACCACGTTCGTGGGCAGGACATGATTCGCCTGCGTGGCCGCTCGCGATGGAGCATCAGACCTCTCTAGGTCGAGACCTATCTGGGTGCAGGACATCTAGTTCGAGACCTATCTGGGTGCAGGATATATATAGATCGAGACCTATCTGGGTGAAGGATATATCTAGGTCGAGACCTATCTGGGTGCAGGATATATCTAGGTCGAGACCTATCTGGGTGCAGGATATATCTAGGTCGAGACCTATCTGGGTGCAGGATATACATATCTAGGTCGAGACCTATCTGAGTGCAGGATATATCTAGATCCAGAGATATCTGGGTGCAGGATATACCTAGGTCGAGACCTATCTAGGTGCAGGATATATCTAGGTCGAGACCTATCTGGGTGCGGGATATATCTAGGTCGAGACTTATCTGGGTGCAGGATATATCTAGGACGAGACCCATCCTGATGCAGTACCTATCACGGTCGAGAAGTACGGTGGCAACGTTGCGACAATTTGGACAACGTTAGACACTGCCTCTGGCGCTGCACTGGGGCAGGGTTGGTGCAGGCATTGTCATACGCTGCTTGTCTACTCGACTACGTCGATTTTCGCCTTGTTTTATAGTTCACCAAAATGGTTGCATGCTGCGGCATCGATGGCACTTACGACCCCATTCTTCGTTGGATTTAAAAGATGCACTGATGGATTCCAGAAGATTAATAGACTCTGCTTCACCCGCATGAAGTAATCAAATAATTAATGAGCGTAGATCCTTTCTGCTTCTTAATTTTGTGTCTTTTTCTTTGCCAATTTTTTTGTCACCTCAACGTGTTTCCCTTAATTTTATTTTTTATAGATTCTACTTGTACAAAATATGTACAACAATTTTTAGATGGATTCGAAGGAAAACTGGAAATCAAAATATATATATATATATGTCGGAATCAAAATATAAGAAACACAGTAATTAACATCAACTCTGCAATTAATTACTAATGTCGACTGAAGCACATGTAATCCGCAGGGTAGGCCGAATTAGGCAGCGCAACACAGCTGTACGGCGCAAAAGATTGGCAGACGTACGGCTTCAATGCTGAGCAGAAATTGTCGTTGAGTCCACTAGGAGTTAGTTCCAAACAGTCTTCTTGGCCCTGAGAGTTATCAGGCTGTCCAGGGCTGTATGGTAAGTACTTCGGGGTTTGACCTGACCAGAAAAATGGCGTTGAAGCATATAATTTATTGTATTGTATTTTCCAACCATTATTGTTATTCAAAATTGCATGATATCATCTATATCCTATGGATGATTCGAATCAGCAAAAGTGAAGAAACACACTTTTCATATTGTGTACCTAATGCAACGTTACGAAATGTAGACTGGACTAACGAGGATTTATTAATTTATGGAGTACACAAATACTTTTCAAATAAACTAACGTATTCAAAAGTTTCAAAAATAAAATTAAAGTTGAAGGGATTCTCTTGTTGTTGATAAATAATTTTTTAATTTGAATGGCCTCCTAAACAACTTTACTATGCCACGAGTTGAAATAATATGCCTCAATTATCTGCTAGATTTACAATTTACGTTATATATTTTTAAATTATTATCCAGCTGTAGTAGACATTTAAATATTATTATAGACAGAATTTAGGTACTAAATACCATTCAAATTTATTGACTTTTAATATAATGAGTGATATAAAAAGCCTCATTCATTGAGGGAACCACAGCTCAAAACAACGAGTGGGGCGAGATTTCCAACAACTTCTTTATGCTTAGACGGTGACGGTCGAAATTGTTTTTGTGACTGTGCGAGGGAACACTTCTGGAAGACTCAATGCATTTCGGATCAGTGATTTCCTCCAGTTTTATTAATAGTTTTAACCCCCTAAAGATTATTTTGAGTGATTCCCATGAATACTATTGATGTTTTCGCTGTGCTTCTATAAGTTATGATATATCTGTGTGCTATAAGTTATATACTTATATACTTATACTATAGTTATACTATACTTATACTATACTATAAGTTTTATAAGTTATTCTATAAGTTATGCTTGTGTACTTCGCTGTACTGCACAAGCATAACTTATAGAATCGTTCAATGTTATAAATCTGAAGTGTAAAATGTCTTCCCAAAATTATTGACCGCATTATTTTATTAGTGTAATTATTTTTCATTGATCTTCATAGTTCATGAAGAATGAGTGCTTCAAGTGCTAATATATTATATTGACAAGTGTATGAAAGTTTCGTCAAATGAATTTCTTCGAATTATTTCAAATACTACATCAAATTTATCTAAAGGGAAGAACAGTCCGCGCATTAGATCTATTGCATAAATTAAAATCTATGATTTCTTCAAATTCGTTGCAGAAGCACCGACATATTGTGCATTAGAAGATAATTCCCTCAAGAATTTGTTTTAAAAAACTACGGATATCCTGGGGACCATCATTTGTCCAAAATTTTTTGGGGGACCATTTTATTTAATTGGCATTTATATTACACAAGCAAGTTCTTTTGACTAATAAACAAGTGTTTTCAAACAATATTCAACAACAAACAAACAATATTCCTCCCGTATATGGGTGAAGAGTTTATGGATGATGTAATCGTAATGTACTAGTGGGAAGCCTCACACTTGTGCTGCTGCAGGTACTTAAGGCAGGTCTCCCATCCTCCTGCATTATTGCTAAGTTAAAGTCGAGAAGATGAAGAGCTTCATAATTTTCTTGGTCCTTGCGGCTGCGTTATCTTGCGTTGTCGGCCAGATCATCGGTAAGAACTTTTTATGTAATTTTAGTATTTTTTTTACAGATAAACCCCATGAGTAGCATTCTAACTAATTTTTAGAGGGTATTATTTTTCTTGAGATAACCATGCAAATCATTTTTCACTAATATCTGTACACTTCTGATCCGATATTGATTTAGATAAGTACTCCCTCGATACAAAAATATTCAAATTATTGTTGATGTAATAGAATTCGTTGTCTTTCATCAGCACTAGTTGCTATTCAATTTATTCTAGGTATTTATTTAATCAGTTTTTTATAATCGCATTGATGCTGCAATTCGTCGTGGGTGAGTAACTCGGCGTCATTCAAAAAGTTTTTAATGAAACGTGCCCTGATCAAAATGAGCGGTCCAACGATACGATACACGCGAGTCCTCAAATAAATTGTGAAAATATCTGATATTTTTAGGATCAGATAGAATGCAGCAATAGAAAGCATATCGCAAAGCTTAGACAAAAACAAACAATCTGATATTGAAATAAATAACATAAATATTTTAATTCTCCGGCGCTGAAATCACATTAACCCACCGATTAGCTTGATAATTTTAGTTCATTCAGCGTTTTTATATCAGTCTTTCGGATCAGCTGCGAATTCCATTCTAGATTTTCAAATGAGAAACTGGTTTAAATTTAAGATAATTGCATTTGAAATGCATGTAACCCAAGATAATTGCCGGTTGATATCAAATCACGTTCCTCTTGCTTACGTAATTAATGTTTATAAGTTTCTGAGATAATATTTTATGTCTTTGCATGTGTTATTAAAACTGCGGTTATCCTGGTATGTAAACTTGACTTCGCGTTATAACGGATAACTTCTCTAGCTTATATCAGCACTACTGTATTTTGGTCGGTATTTCCTGATATGAACCACAAATTCTAGCATACCGTCAGATCAGTCTAGATAGCAAGTTTTAAGATCAGTCAGATGAGTCCAAATAGCAAGAGCTTTAAATACAAAGAAAGCACCAAATAACTTGACAGCATCTTCATCAAATCAAGATCAATCGAAATTGGAATTTTCCGACTGAATGAATTTGTTCTGAAAGATAGACTAGTAGAGGGACAAGCCAACATTCGGCTATGTACCTTGCATGCATATTGCAGCAAATAAGAGCTGCTAGTTCAGAGTCTTTTCGCTAACCGTTAAACTTTTGGAGAAACTGCGTCGTAAATGAGGCTGCTGACAATCTTTACCTTCACGGCTGCGCTGAAAAGCACGTTGATGATTTAAGGGGACCGACCTAGCTAAAATTTGAAAATGTTGAGTTTTTCTGTTTCTTATCTCATCCTAAAGGTTGTTTTCTTGCGCATCGAACGATATAAGTATCGTCCCTGTGCGTCGAAAAATGACTTTGTGACAGCTCCTCAAAGGGAGGTGGGTTTTNTCAGAGTTCCCATGATCAGAGTCCCATTGATCAGAATCCCGTTAATCAGAGTCTCGTTCATGAAAAAATAAAACCTGAGGAGGCAAAGCAACAATTTTCGTTATTGAGGCTGCGGCCGTCTTTATTACTTCATGAATTGTTGTCATTCTAACCATATAACGCATCGTCTCTTAAACACCAGAATTAAATGAGATGCTATATAGTAGCTACACCCTCATATGAAACGCCAATTCAGAAATAATCGATTTAATATTGATCTCAATTCGGTTAAGATAGCTTAGGAATATTGGTCACTTTAATTTCCTGAAGATCGGAGAAGTATTAATTAACTGATAAATTAATCATTGATTATTCAGACGATTTGCTATTAGTTTTTTTACATAATAAACTCGATAAAAGTTCTCAGTGATCTATCAGTAGAATATTTGTAGAAGTTATTCGTAATGAGTTCTTGATTTATTAATTAATATGATTCATTAAATAATGAATATCTCTCGGGCATTTTCATTGCAAAGTATCAAATGAGTTATTTGTAGAGGAACAATTGATTTAATTCTGATAGCTATTAGTATCGTGCATACATTTCTTCTATTCTCCTTTCAGTTGGATCCTGTACCCTTCAGTCGCTTACGCTGGTACCTCGTACCAATATCACGGTGTCAACAGCTGCTACAACTTGACTACCTCTGCATCTGTAAGCCTACGATTGCAACGCGGATAACAATTTATCTACTCAATACATAAATATTCCATAGGCAAAATGTTATGGTTAAAGTATATTATTTTAGAGTAGTTGCTATACAAATTTTCTACCTTAGCATAAGTAAGCCTAGGATAGCAACGGGGATAATACTTTATATCTTCAATACACCTTGTTCTCACAACATTTATTTATATATCAGCTGCCATTCAACTTGTCTATCTTAGCATCTGTTTGCCAAGGATAGCGACAGGATAACACAATATCTCCTCAATACGCTTTTTTGTGAAAACATTAGCTTTTATATTAGCGGCATTTGAAACTTATCAACCTCAGCATTTGTTGAGTCTAGATATCAGTGAGGATAACACTCTCTTTTCAATACTTATTATTGTAATAAATTGTTTTTAAATTTACTTTTACTATCTATTCATCACTTCTATTAAACAATTGTCTCGCAGATAAATTCTCTGCGGTACGCGGGCAGCCCATATGGCATGGACGACGTATATTTCAACCTCTACAATACAACGTATTTTGGAGGGAACGAATTTACGGGCAACACTAATACTGAAACCGTCGTGGAGTTGGACATGGAGGTTTCCTCCTTGATTGTCAGTGGACAATCGCCGTGGACTTTCTTCACGTAAATACAACTTTAAGAAAAAGTACTCCTACCTCCTCAGTAACGTGAAACATTATTCTTTTAACTCGATGTTATTGCTCATACTGCAGTGTATTGCAAAAACCAACTGATTAATGATCGAATGTTTGTGCTTTCTACATATTCTGTTCAATTTTGAGCAAAAAAATAAACAGTTTAAGAGGTTCGACACACGATCGTCTAAACTAATAATACTCGTAGGAAGATCACAAATCTAGGATTCATTCCTCAAAAGGAGGATAAGTGTCTTTGGAAGCGAGGTTATGCGATAAGTAAGTCATGGATACGAGCATTGCAGGAAAGAGCAAAGCGCACGTTTTTCATGAAAATAGGATACTAGTCTCGTGAAGCGAGCATTCGCGCATTTCGAAAGTTGGACACCATGCGCAGACTCGTTTGAGAGAGTTATTACATGCAAAATAAAAATACGAACCTCGTTGAGCTAGACTTCATGCCTTGCAGTAGAAAATAGCCCGAACAAAGAGGATGCATAAGGCTTTTTATGAAGTGAGTACAATTTTCTTAAGCCAAGGGTAAGGAAGTCATGAATTTTAATGTTTTATATTGCTTTCAGGGGCCTCAAGTTCACCGGCGAGTCCGTGTGCGTTTATCCCTCGTACAACTCTACCGACAACGGCATTTCTATACATTATTTCGACGCAGCATCGGTAAGAAAAACCTTCAAGTGTCCACGTAAGCTTTGAGATGTTTACTTAAAAGCCTCTGTAGCTGTTTATAAAATAGATTGAGTCTTTACTTCACCTTAAAATAGATCAACTAGAAAATCAACTATAAAATAAAAATAAATAGATCAACTGGAAAATCTTCAGGAATCTATAATAGGAGGAATCAGCGAGTCTGGAGAATTAATTTGAATGAATCAACGGCTTGTTCAATAATGAACAGAATTCTTTACACTCTGTTTTTTCATGGCCCTCAGAAGAACGTTAAAGTTTTAGAAATAGGTTAACTAAAGTAAATGGGTTATCTTCACATACATATTTCTGAGCGTCGGTCATGCGGCGCGTAAATAAAATCTTTACCATCATAGGACCAAGTAACTTGTACCTATGTAATGTCAAAATTTTTAAACTTACATATTTCTTTACGTGTAATTAGGCGCAAATGACTGCCACACGTCCACACTTTTTACTGCGTTATACGAACTATAGTTATTGAGCGCAATTAATCGTTCTTCGTATAATTAACCCCTATATTTCTGTCCTGCTCTCAAGATGTCATCTCTGGGCTTGCCTGACAACTCGATCAGGTCGGTGGCGCGAGGCTGCCTTAGCGACACCGTCTACAGGGACCAACTCCAGCAATTCCAGCAGCAGGCCGAAGAAGACATCGAAAAAATCAAGCGTCGAGAGGACTGAAAAATTACACACACAAAACATTAGTAATTTTATCATGTCACATGCAATGCTTTTGAAATGAAATTAAACCAAAAATTTTCTTGTTTTGTAACCTTTAATGAGCAGCCCAGGAAGATGTTTGGAGAATTTTCGAGAAACATTCTTATTTTTGCTCTGATCTAGCTCCGCTACGACTGACCAGCGAATTACGAGTTTGATAAGAAAATGTTCGTTCCAATAATTGAACAACATATTAATCTAGATTACTATCCTAGTTTTCAATTATATTTCACTTAGATTCATAGAGTCATCCGTTTCAAACTGTTAGAATCCCCAATGGAATGCGAAGTTTTTATCAATTTTGAATGCTTTAGTAGAAATTGTGACCAAAATTTTCAAAATATAAACCGTAGACTACATTCGAGCGTGTTATTTTTGGAAATAAGTTTTAGATAGCGATATAAGATTAGATTTAGTTCCTCACCTTTTAGTTAGCGTGAAGAGATTATACATGGATTTTGCCTTCTATTGGATTTGGAAGTTAAGAGTTTGTTTTTTGAATCGTATTCTTATATTGTTTAGAAACACCTATTTACTCATATTCGCTCAGTTACTCATCCGGAAATAATATATAGCTGGATTTGCAATTGCGCTTTTACGGCGAACGTCAGGGAACCGGAGTGGGTCAATATAAGATTTTTTTCTTTCCTACGCTTCATCTGATGGGAATTTTGGTATCTCCAAACACGCAAGTTTGTATAGGGGCTCGCTCGTATTTATTCAATGAATACCGTCGTATTTAATTATGTATGAATGACAGTTTCCTGCTCTTCTTTCACCTCCAGTCGCATAATTTCTAATCAAATTACTGAGGGTTCCCAATGAATGCCAACTGCACCCAAAAACGGTTTTCATCGTGACATTTACGGACCGTTCTTCCAACCGAATTAACACTCCCGCCTCTGGAGATAGGAGTGGTCAACTGAAGTAAAAATTTACTGTTAAGATTTTCAGGTTCTAAAGGTTTCCAAGTTTATATGTTTAAACTCAAGTGTCTAGTTCAAGTCTGAGAGTTTTGTAGTTTCAAGTATCTAGATTTTGAGGTTTCAAGATTTTCGACCTCTCAGCTTCAAGGTTCTGCTTATTTACGGTTCCATACGAAATAATGACTAAGGCAAGGTAGGAATTCGTTTTTGTCGGACGGGACTTTACTCATATTGATTGTGACCATACGTGTGTTTTAGGGCAGAGAAAGGCCATTATTAATCTAGAGTTGAGTATTGCATTAATCTTGGTGGTGTATTAATTAATGATTAATATAGATTTGTGTATTGTATTAATCTAGGAGTTGCGTGACAGAATGTACTATTGCTGTGGTAGATATTTTTCATTATGCCTGAAAATAGTGCGTTATGAGATTTAAAATAAATCGTTCGGCCTTCTGAAAATTTTTTTTACACTCGTGTCTCTAATTTGTTTGAATGTCGTGTTGTAAGATAGACATATAAAGCCTGAGGTGAGAATGTTTAATAACGTGCAAAATATAATTCATCTACTTCGAACTGAAAAGATTGTGCTAGTCACATCAAATTAACCAGATTTATTAACGATAACTTGATATCCCATTATCGGAATTATGGTTTACAGGTCCACAATTTTCAGACAAAATTTCAAATTTGACCACCCGTGACGGCGAAAATTTGGCGCAGCGAGCCTAAACCGTCAACCACGTTCGTGGACAAGACTTATTACTCGCCTGCGTGGCCGCTCACGATGGAGTATCAGACCTCTCTAGGTCGAGACCTATCTGGGTGCAGGAAATATGTCTAGATCGAAACTTGCCTAGGTGCAGGATATATCTAGATCGAGACCTATCTGGGTGCAGGATATATCACGATCGAGCCTTATCTAGGTGCAGGGCCTAAGCCTAACTAAGTAGAGTCCTATCCAGGTGCATGCCCTATCTAGGTCGAGAAGTACGGCGGCAACGTTGCGGCAATTTAGACAACGTTAGACCCAGGCCTCTGGCTCTGCACTAGCTGGGGCAGGGTTGTTGCAGGCATTATCATCCGCTGCTCGTCTCCTCGACTACGGCGATATTTGCCTTGGTTTATAGTTCACAAAATTTCTGCATGCTGCGATGTCGATGTACGCACTTAAGACCCATTTTTCCTTGGATTTGTAAGATGCAACGAAGGATTCCACAAGATTAATAGATTTTGCTCCCCTAGCATGAAGCATTCAAACACAATCATGAGCCTGGATTCTTTTTGCCTCTTAATTTTGTTTCACTTCCCCTTTTCTTGGCCAATTTTTGTCACCTTATAGTTTTCCCTCTAATTTTATTTCTTTATAGATTCTACTTGTACAAATAATTAACACAATTTTTTAGATAGATTTGAAATAAAAGTGGAAATATGTCGGGTAGGACCAAGCTATTTGAAAATTATAAGATGCAGAGTGTAAACAAAATATAACAAACCCAGTAATTAGCTTCAACTCTGCAATTAATTATTACTGTCGACTGAAGCACATGTAATCCGCAGGGTAGGCCGAATTAGGCAGCGCAACACAGCTGTACGGCGCAAAAGACTGGCAGACGTACGGCTTCAACGCTGAGCAGTCGTTGTCGTTGAGTCCGTCAGCAAGTTGTTCCAAACACTGTTCTTTGCCCTGAGAGTTATCAGGCTGTCCAGGGCTGTATTGTAAGTACTTCGGGGTTTGGCCTGACCAGAAAAATGTTATTGGAGCGTACAATTTGTTGCTAGATGTATTTTCCAACCAATATTGTTATTTAGAACTGCATGATATCATCTATATCTTGTGGGTGATTCGAATCAGTAGAAGTGAAATTTCTCACTGCTGGAATGCCGAGGTAGCTGTTCAAACCCCTGCACTTGTTGAAGCCAGTGGGGTGATTTGCGGCTGGGTAGAAGGAGTAGCTCCTCATGCCGACGATCAGCGTGGAGTTCGCGAGGTCTGATGATTCTGAAGAAATTAATGGATTTTTTTCACGTCGAAATACATTATTTTCACCTTTTTTCCTTATGAGGTTCTATAGCTTTGGTTCATGCATAAGAGATTAAATATTAGAACATTAGTGTTAGGTTAATAATCAGACTAGCGTTAGCGTTTAGCTGACATGAATATGTCAGCCAAATTAATGAGCGATGGCAAAGTTTTGAAAATAAACGACAAAATCTCTATTAACTCCGATAGTTCCTAGGATTTTCGATAGTTTTAAAGCACCGAGTTTATCACATATACCATTCGTGTTTGCATGGAATAATCTGCAAAACATTGTCGTCAACACGTTCAAAAGTTACTAAGTTTTTGACCGGATGAACCATGTCTTTTTTTCATTTCAGATTTGCGGGAGCCTCTGAAGATTAGTCCAATGCGGCCCCACGACAGGGTTTTGAGTTATAGTTGCCTCAGTAACTTTTCTAGTGACACTTTATGGGCTTTACAGTTTCTCTTAATCAGACAGATGAACCATGTCAATTAAGATACTGTCACATACAGAGAAATAGACACGTGTCAAAAAATTATTCACTGATTAGATTCTCAAGATTGATTGAACATATTCAGCTGAACCAATACAATGTGAAGCATTATGAACAATCATAAAATTGTCACACATTGATTCTTCCCTTCAGCATAAGCAGCCTTTTTCTGCAAAAAGGCTGCGTATATTGTAGAATGGTGACACCCATTCAACATGAATAGAATAGAAGTGTCGGCATTGAAGAAATAGGCCCATGGCCTGTTGCCGATTCTCGAACTTCTCGTGGCTTGATTCACAAGGAAATTAAGTACTTGATTCCATTTAATTACATTACTCTCAATTGCAAAAGACTTCAATTTACGCAGCTGCTCATGTGGGACACTGTCAAATGCCTTGGCAAAATCGAGGTACACTGTGTCAACTGGCTCCCTTTCGTCCAGCAGGCGGGTCCATTCATTCAGAGTAGACAAGAGGTTAGTGGTGCAGGATCTACCGGTAATAAGACCATGTTGACAGTCTGAAATATTATTAGCAGTTAAATGATCGATCAATCGATCCCTCACAACAGATTCCATTACCTTGCACACGACACTTGTCAAACTAACAGGGCGATAGTTGCCCGGGCAGCTTTTGTCACCTTTTTTGAATAATGGTGTCACTTGGGCTTCTTTCCAGTCAGCCGACAAGATCCCTTCATTCAAAGTTTTTCGAAAAAATAACGTCAAAGGGCCGGCTAAAAAGGTTGCTAACTCTTTGAGTAATCTGGGGTGGAAGCCGTCTGGTCCACATGACTTGTTTGAATTTACAGCGATAGGGCGCTTGAGAACCTCTTCTTCTTGTATTTCAAAACTTGTTAATTTAGAGCCGACTGGGCGCTCCTCAATAGCTGAAAAATTGTTCAAGTCCTCTTCAGTGAATACGCTACTGAAAAACAGATTAAGAACGTTAGCCTTGCCCTCATCAGAGGATATCTTTAGCTGATCTACTTTCAAATCATAAATACCGTCCTTTATCTTGAACCTCAAGCTAGCGCACAAAAAGAAGGCTTTCGGGTTATTTTTTTGCATTTTTGGCAATATTTTTTTCGAGGGATTTTACTGCGGTGCGACAGAGCTTTCTTAGCTTGATTTCGAGCTCTTGCGTATATGTTATAATCAGCATCGCTACGAGACTGTAAATAACGCTTAGAACATGAACAAAAATAAGTCACGATTAAATTATACACGATATTTGCTTTTCCTACGTATCACATTGATTTGTTTGTCCCAGTAACAGGGAACGACATCGACGCTTCTCAACCGCGCCAAATTTCGAATAACCCGGAATGCGCATGTCCGTTTACGCGGGTACTAAAAAATATTAAAACTAATGCTAATGCTGGGATTTATCCCGGCACACTCCCCGCCCGAGAATTCAGTGGAGGGGGCATGCTGGAAGGTCATTCGCCGCTCATCAGTAGGACGAGCTCGGTGATCGAGCGTAAGGATACGATGTCTCCAGGGGTGCCGACACGGGGAGCGCAGCCGTGCACCAATAATTTTTTTGCACCAAAAAGCCCTGAATAGAACGCCTGGGATGTCCCCAGACATCCACTAATCAGC